TCTCAGGATCAGCAGTCACATGAAGGGCAATGTCCTGCTCCCAGTGGGACTCATCTTCTAGGTATACTGTTTGAAACTTTTTTTTGTGCTTGAGGAGCCTGGATTTGTTGATCCACAGCTACAGCCATCGTTCAGCCCAGAGGAAAACCTTGCAACTGCACTTTGAAGCTCAAACTTCTTCCATCGCCTCATTGGGAAGCCATCTTCAATTAGGAGTCTCTAAGTGAAACTTCTCTTCATGTTCTAGAGCCAGAGACACACATGACAAAGGGAGCTTGAGTTAGCACAGCAGGACTGAGGTGAAGAAGAGTGCCTTCCTGTCCTCCCACACTCCTCCATGCCCTGATGCTAGCAGAGTCGGGCTCTCTGTCACTGCAGAAGCAGCTCTACACATTTGATAAGGGGGTCAAGGGCTGGTGATCAGGCTGGAAAGTAGAGGAACTTGAAACTGTGTTTGCATAACAATCTGCTCAAGGCTGTGAAAATGGCAACTGTCCATACTGAAGAATGAGGGTGAGCTGGCCATTATATCTGGGACATTAAGCTGCCTACTTTCTCAAGCCTCTGGTCTCCAGGACTATGGAGTGTGTGGCGAAGAGATGCACACAAGGTAACAGCACCTTGGAGAGCAGCACTGGATGGAGCTGGAGCTGAGCCCCAGGGACTCAAATGCTCCAGCCACTGAACTGCTCTGGCCTCTGGCTAGGTTCGCAGCCATGGACGCTCCGTTTAGGACTCCTCAACCCCAGCATCCTAACTCTCTCAGACAAGGATATTTACCATAGTTAAGGTGACAAGTTTAAGAGCAAGGATAATAAAAACACAAATTCACAGGGTGCCGGAGTTGGAAGGAAGGTTAAGAGATACTCTGGCTTCAGCAGTCAGAGAGCTGGAAGTGCTGGCTCAGAGAGCTCCGGGACTTGCCCAAGGTCACAGAGCTGGATTATAGCAGGAAATGGACAGTGACACAGCCCTTGGACCTGGTCTGGGTGACTGGCCTGCAGAGCCTGACTTATGCTGGAGGGCTACTCTGCTCTACGGGCGACCGTCTCTGAAGTTTATGGGACACAAGCGGGCCTTGAGGACAGGGATACCTGGATGGCTACAAGGCCAGGGCTGTTACCTCCCGCCCAGAATGCTGCTAGGAGGGCACCGCCAGCACGAGGAGTTCACATAGTGAGCGGGGACGACCCAGGCCAGAGTGAGAACCGCGGCACCCTTTCCGTGGCCACGCAATGTCCTCACACGACCCTCAAACCGAGAGCCCAGACCCCAAGCCCTGGCTTGTCGTGTCAGGCACCGGAAGCGGAAACCCGAGCTCCAGAACTACATTTCCCAAAGGCCTCTGCCCGCAGACTGACAGCCAAATAAGCCAATAAAGTGTGAGGACGTCGGGGTGCCGAATTGTCTGCGGGTGGGATTTTCACACTTGCTAAATTGAGAGTCTCAACCGCTATTAGACCAGAACCGGACAGTGGTTCCCATCTCGCAGAGGGTGGATCCCTTGAGACAGGGCTCTTTACAAAGCGTTTTCATTGTTTTTCCGCATTAAGTCCTGTTGAACTCTGTTGTACAAAAGCAAAAAACGAGAAGGTGAGGGCCAGAGGTCTGTGTTAGTATGGAGCTAGGACCTCAAGTCAGATTTTCTGCGACCAAAAAGTGCTGCTCGGGCCAGTAGGTGGCGCGGAGATTAAGGCAGTGGGATTCCACATGGATAGCTGAGCAGTTCAGCTCCTGGACCTGTGGCTTGAAAATCAGGCTAGGCACTTGTGTGTATATATGTCAAAAATCCGAAGGGGGAGAACAGATGAGAAGGGATTGCTTATTTTCAGCAACCAAATGTCCAGTATGCCCTTTGGACTGAGTACTGGGCTGAGTGGGAGTGAGCTGTGAGGGTAGGAAAAATAAAACACTCCTCCTTCTTAAGGATTACCATCCAGTGGAGGGTGCACTGTCTGGAAATTAACCATGAACAACCCAAAAGAACTCCTGTGAAGTGCTACAAGTACTGGGTGCGTTCAGACTAAAGGATTGGTAAGAACTGTGGCAGGTACAGCCTCTGGGGAAGAGGGAAGGGCGAAGAAAGCCACTTTATATAGCCCCTACTTGACATATACGGTTTGCTTTAGTTCTGAAAAAGAACCCTGGAATCCTCTGGTTCTGTATAGTAGGTCTCACTCCATATTTAACAGATGAAAGGACCCAAATTCGTGGCAAGCAGGGAAGCTGTGATTCCCCCCTAGGAAGGGACAGCCTGTGGGGAAGCAAAGAAAGGTCGGCGTGACAGGAGGGCTCTCCAGAGAGGCAGTCGCCTGGCTGGGCCCTGGAGATCTTAGGGCCGAAGTGGAAACTCGGGCCAGCACGCTTGGCTTGCACACACAGCTAATTTCCAGACCGTCCTTGGACCAGCCAGCGGTTCCAGAGCTGTCTCAGGGACCAGCTGTGGGGCCGAGGCCCAGCTCAGGAGTGGGCTTTGAGTTCCCACCCTCCAGTCTCCAGAGAGGCTCTGCCGTCCTCATCCTACACAGCCCGTGAGCTCTGCGGGACTAAGGCAGAGACTCTCTTCCTCCAGGAGCAGTTCTCCCACCCGTCTCTGGCTATGAACGGATGGAAAAGGCTCAGATTTGGGACAATGGGAAGAGTAAGTGGGAGGGAGGTATCCAGGGCCAACTGGGTCCTGGAGCCAGTCTCTCCCCAGATGCACCAACAAGCTGTGAAAGCCAAAGGGAATTAGCCACAGGCCCTGCCTTTACACCAGGCTGAACTTTTGTTTTAAAATCTCATCTTCCCCCATCCAGTTCTACTTTCACTTCCTCAGTGGCCTTGGGCTATTTTATCAAGAGGGTGAAAAAAGGAGATTTACATTTTATCGAAAGATTTGAAATAACACAGCAGGACAGGGAAGTTAGAAGGCCCTCCATTTAAAAATCTCCAGGGCCTTGGGACCAGTAGATGGTATAATGGTTACATCACTGGACTCCCACATGGTCAACCGTGGTTTAAATCCCACACCCAGAAACTTGAAACTCATGCCAGGTGCATGTGCATGCATGCTCAAGATCCCAAGAAGAGAATGGAGGAAAAGGGATTGCAGCATAGCCATCCCCCTCTCCCCCAGAGGGCTGATTTCTGAGAGCTCTCTGTCTCTCTGGTGAGCTAGTGCATGCACCCTATAGCAAAAACCTCTAAAAAAAAAGGAATCTCCAAATGAATAATAATTTTTAAAACGTCTCCAGGGCCATCTGTGAGAGATAATGGTTGTAGCAGGCCCAAAACACTGGGCTCCCACTAACCTCCCTGGTTATGAGACAGGACCCCATCAGGAGCAAGGAGCCAGGAAGGACGACTGCTGGTCACGTATGAAGAAGGACCAGTCACAGCTATGGACAGTCCTGATGCTTATAGGAGAAAACTAAAAGTTGTAGTTAATACATCACTTTTATCATGATTTCATTGTTTTAGCCGTTCATTCCTATTAAGTATTTCTCATGGTTTTGATATACAGTGGAGGGGGCCAGACAGGCGGATGATGGATAAGGCAGCTGGATGTTACATAGCCAACTGAGCAGTTTGATCCTAGACTTGGCTGCTTGAAAAACACTCCAGGCACATGTGCATGTACACCCCAAATCCTGAGAGAATGGAGAAGGGATTGCAGCTTAGCCATCCTCCTGGGAGTTGATTTCTCACTTTCTTTCCAGCGAGTGCACACGTCCTATAACAAACTAAAAATATATAATGATGTAGTGGAGAGTTAGGTGTGGCATAGCTGAATCCCACATGGCTGACCACATGGTATGAGTCCTGGACCCAGTGGCTTGAGAAACATACCAGTTGCACATGCATGTGTTCCCAAAATCTCAAAAGGAGAAATGAAGACAGGATTATAGCATGACCATCCCCTGGGGGTTGTGTTCGCACCTTCCCTTTCTCTCTGTCTCTTTTGGGAGAGTACACATACCCTCAGGCAAAAATTTTAATAAAAAGTAAATAATAATGGGACCAGAAGGTGCAGTTCAAGTCCTGGACCTGGTGGCTTAAACTTCACACTAGGCACATGTGTATCCAAGATCCCAAGAGGAGAATGGAAGAGAAGGGATTGTGGCATGGCCATCCCCCCCACCCCGGGGGTGATTTCTCACTTTCTATATCTCTGTCTGCCTCTGTCTCTCCAGTGAGCACATGCACCCTATAGCAAAAACATCTCTTAAAAAAAAAAGAAAAAATATTCAGTGAGCAATTATCTGTCTTTTATGCACTAATCTGTTTCCTATATTCCAATACAAAGTTTAAAACAAGGGGAACTACGGGCCAGCAGGTGGTGTGATGGTTGGAGCACTAGACTCCCATGTGGCCAACCATTGTTCAAGTCCTGGACCTGGCAACTTGCTTTCTCACTTTCTCTCTCTCTCTTTCTGATGACTATATCAAGTTAAAAAATAATAGTAAATGGAAGGGACTGCGGCGTGGCCATCCCCCCTGGGGAGTGATTTCTTGCTTTCTGTCTCTCTGTCTCTCTCTGTCTGTCTGGCGAGCGCACGTGCCCTATAGCAAAAACCTCTCCAAAAAAAATAATAAATAAAATAGTAAATGGGAAACAGCAGTTAGCATAATGGCTATGTCGCTGGACTCCCACGTAGTCGACCGCGGTTCGTGTCCTGGACCCGGTGGCTTAGAACTCACACCGGACGTGTGTGCGTGCGTGCCCAAGATCCCGAGAGGAGACTGGAGGAGAAGGGATTGCGGCGTGGCCATCTCCCCTGGGGGGTGATTTCTTGCTTTCTGTCTCTCTGTCGCTCTCTGTCTGTCTGGCGAGCGCACGCGCCCTATAGCGAAAACCTCTCAAAAAAAAAAAAAAGATAAAAAAATAATAGTAATAATAAATACAATTAAATTTTTAAAAAAAAGATGTGGGAATTGTCTCAGATATAGCTGTATGGATATATTGGATTAAAGAGTAAGAGTAAGGGGCCAGCTCCATAGTCTAGTGGTTAAGGGAGGCGGATCCCACATAGCCAATCACAGTTTGAATCCTGGCTCCCGCAGCTGAAAAACACTCCAGGTACATGCCCCAAATCTCCATAGCATGGGGAAACGGAGAGGAAGGGACTGCAGTATAACCATGCCCCATGGGGGGGGGGTGTACTTTCTCCTTCTGCCACCCCCTGGTGAGTGCACATGCCCTCTGGCAAAAAACAATAACCAAACTCTTACTATCAGCTCTTCTTTAAAATTCATACTTAAGATCCAATATTTTCTTCAACATTTTTTTTCCCCAAGAGAAAAAGGAAAGTTAATTGAGAGAAAAAGTACCTAGGGGGCGAGTCTGAAGCCAGAGATCCTTCATTTAACCCCTCAACATTCTTTTAACAGTCAAATTCTAGAACTTAATGTCAGCTGGGAAACCATCCTCTCTCTCCTTTTCTTTTTTTTTTTTTTTTTTTTTTGAGAGGTTTTTCCTATAGGGCGCATGTGCTTGCCAGAAAGACAGAGAGAGACAGAGAGGGAGAAAGCGGGAAGTCACCCCCCCACCCCAAGGAGGCATGGCCATGCCACAATCTCTTCTCCTCCATTCTCCTCTCAGGATCTTGGACACGTATGCACATGCGTTCGGCATGAGTTTAAGTCACCGGGTCCAGGACTTGAATCGCGGTCAACTACATGGGAGTCCAGGGACATAGCCATTATGCCAACTGCTGGTCCCACCATCCTATCTCTTCTGTATCTTCCAGGATGACAGGACTTCATGTTCACTGTCTCTCTCCCTGGTTCCTGGCATAGTGATGATAAGTAGCTCTCAATGAATGTTTGCCAAATAAGTGAAGAAACAGAATTAATGATGGGGAGGCCAGCAGGTGGTTAAGGGCACTGGACTTCCACATGACCGACCATGGTTCAAGTCCATGATCTGGTGGCTTGCTTTCTTACTTTCTGTCTCTGTCTTTCTTGCACTCTGTCCCTTTCTGGTCAAATTAAAAATAAATCAAGTTAAATAAAATTATATATATATATATATATTTAGAGAATTAATGATAAGGACTTCACAGCCTACTTGGTTTGGTTTAACAACTGCAACTGCCTACAGCTTCCTCCATGTGTCTAATTGAGTTGATTCCAGATAGAGATGAGTCCCAGTGACCTCCTCAGGACAGTCAGCTTCTAGCCAGAGCTGCTGCTCCAAGCCTAGGTTCATGGACTGGATGAAGGTTCTCAAAGGGCAGTGGAAAGGCACATGCACTGACCAAACACACAGGTTGGGGTTCACCCAAAGGCATACCCTTTGAAGAAACTCACTTTTACTTCCTGAAGGCCTTGGACCACTTTCAGGTGAGGTCAGGTTTGTGGGGTGGGAAGGTCAGTTTACTAACAATAAGGTTCAGGCTTTTTTAACACACATTAAAGGCAGACTCAGGAAAAGAATGGGGCTCTACTTTATTAGGCAATATTGAGTATCCATCCTATAAGACACAAGGCCCATTCTGAGTGCAGGCCCCTTGTGTAGGAGAAGGCAGTTTTATATTTCCCAGAAACATCCTATCTACTCTCCTCTTTTGTCTTAACCCTTCATCTGCTGCCCTGCCCATCTTCACTGTTCCCAGCTGCAGGAGCACCCTAAGGTCAAGGGTGACAGCTGTTGGATAGACTCCTGATTCAAGCCCAGATCTCTCCAGGGGACAGATGATACTGTCCTTAGAATCAATGCTTCCTTAAAAATAATGTACTTAGATATGAAAGTACCTGAAGAATCCCAGGTCTGTATATGTTAAAAAAAAAAAACAAAAAAAAAACCAAGAACAAGGAAGTTAATGCGGGTATTCTAACTTATAAATGCGCTCAGGGTTCCGTATCTGAGGGAGGAATGACAGAGCTTGATGAAATACAAACTGCCACCCACCATCCTCCTACCCAGGGCAGGCCGACGGGCATCTCAGACTTCACACTCCAAATGCGAAGTTCCACAAGAACGCGGGCACTCCCCTCGGCAGGCAGCAGTAAGCAGGGACGGAAGCCAGCACACACCTCAGCTTACCCCTTCCCTGGCAGACCCTGTCTGACTGTCAGTGGAAAGGCCACTGGGACCCTGGTTCAGGCCGTACTTCCTCATGTGTCTGCGCTCCCGACACTTTGGGAAACAGAAAAGGGGCTTTCCCTTCATGCAGATGCCTCAGAATGCTGAGACGCCTCTCCATCTTGACCTGAAGCAAAAGCCCAGCCTACTAAAGCCAGGAAGAGCAGATTCTCAGGCAGGCAGGAGCCCTAGGCTCGCCACGTGGGGTAAAGGCACCTGAGCCTAACAAAGTGGCAGCAGAACCACATGAATCGATTTCCAGCATTTCTCTGGGCACTCAGCCTGCACTGTAGACCACACGGTCTTCCACCCACATGGAGAAACAGTCCCCCACTTTACCACAGAGGGAAGTGAGGCACAGAGGAATCAGGAAAGGGGGCCGATCAAGCCATGAAATGCAACAGAGAAAGACGAACTTTCCAGACCTTCCACTCCTATGCTCTGTTGTGAATCTGCATGGGCTTGGCTCCGATCACAAAGATAACAGTGTCCTAGAAGTGAGTGTGACCATGCGTGAGATTCTGGCAGACCCCCAAGGAGCATGTAGGAAGAATGGCTCTCTTAAGGGACATCACTCCTTGGGGCAGTGCAGCATGCCCTCTCCTGGGCCTGTCCCCTCGCCATCCCTCTCTGCCACTTCAGTAGAGTTTCTCTTTCATGTGAGTTCTCTGGTGTGTAATGAAGTTCGAGCTGTTGCTGAAGCCTTTGCCACACTCGGGACATTTGTAGGGCTTCTCCCCTGTGTGGATTCGCTGGTGTATGATGAGAACCGAATTCCAGCTAAAGCCCTTTCCACACTCAGGACACCGGTAGGGCTTGTCCCCCAGGTGGGCTCTTTGGTGCATGACCAGGATGGAGCCCCGGCTGAAGCTCTTGCCGCACATGAGGCATTTGTAGGGCTTCTCGCCCGTGTGGGTCCGCTGGTGCACCACGAGCTGCGAGCGCTGGCTGAAGCTCTTGCCACATTCCCCGCACTTGTAGGGTTTCTCCCCTGTGTGGATCCGCTGGTGCTTGATGAGGTTGGAGCTCCAGCTGAAGCTCTCTCCACACGTCAGGCACTCGTAGGGCTTCTCCCCCGTGTGGATGCCCTGGTGTGCGATCAGGCTGGAGCTCTGGCTGAAGCTCTTCCCACACACCCCACACTTGTAGGGCTTCTCCACCATGTGGGTCCTCCGGTGCGTGGCCAGGTTGGAGCTGCGGCTGAAGCTCTTCCCACACTCGCTGCACTGATAGGGCTTTTCACCCGTGTGAGTCCTGCGGTGGGTAATGAGGGCTGAGCTCTGGCTGAACCTCTGCCCACAGTCCGTACATTTGTAGGGTTTCTCTCCCGTGTGGATCCGCTGGTGTCTGATCAGGTTGGAGTTGTAGCTAAAGCTTTCGCCGCACTCTTTACATTCATAGGGCTTCTCCCCAGTATGTATTCCCTGATGCGTGTTGAGGCTGGACCTGTTGCCAAAGCTCTTGCCACACTCGGGACACGAGTATGGCTTCTCCCCCGTGTGGGTGCATGTATCTCCGGCTGAAACTCTTGCCACACTCGGAGCACTGAAAGGGTTTCTCTCCCGTGTGGATCCTCTGGTGGGTGATGAGGTTGGCACTCCGGCTAAAGCTCTTCCCACAATCCCTGCATTTATAGGGCTTCTCTCCGGTGTGTGTAGTTTGGTGTCTACTGAAATTTGAACCGTCGCTGAAGCTTTTTCCACACTCGTCACACTTGTAGTATTTCTCCCCTGTGTGGGTCCGCTCGTGTGTGATCAGGTGGGATTTCCGGCTGAAGGTTTTCCCACACTGGGGACATTCGTAGGGCTTCTCACCCAGGTAGGTGCCCTGGAGGCCTATGAGCTGGCCAGCCTCCCTGCCCTGGGAGGGCATCCCCTTCTCACTGGGAGCCTTGTCCGGAGGCCCCCTAGAGCCACAGTCCCTCTCGCAGTCACTCTCCCCATCAGAGAGTCGGCTGCTTTTTCCTTCAGGCATTTCTGAGAATATCTCATGTGATCCTGTGTCCTCACACATGTCATGATTAGAGTTCTCCCCATTTTCACTCTGGATCTCAAAATCTGAAACAATGAAGACAAACATACAAGGTCTACTCAATTCCCTGTTATGATGAGAAAAGAAAACTCAGAGAAGTTTTGCTTTTGTTTTTTGTTTTGTTTTGCCATGGGGCACATGCACTCACCCAAAAGAGATAAGATGAGGGGGAGCAGGGCTGGCAGGTGGCATGGTGGTTGGGGTGCTGGACTCGCACATGGCCAACCACAGTTCAAGTCTTGGACATGGTGGCTGCTCTCTCACTTTTTCTCTCTCTCCCTCTCTCCCTCCCTCTCCTTCTCTCATCAAATTAAATATTAAGAACAAATAAAATTACATAAATATGTTTAAATAAAAGAAAGAGGGAAAGTGTGACCACATCCCCCACCCCCAGGTTGGCCATACTGCAATCTTTTATCCTCCATTCTTCTCCTGGGATTTCAGACACACATGCACACATGTCCAGCATGTTTTTCAAGTCACTAGGTCTGGGGCTTGAACCACAGTAGGCCATGTGGGAATCCAGTGTCTTAACTACCATACCACCTGCCGGCTTAAAGAAGATTCATTTTAAAAAAAAGATTATTTATTTAATTTTACTTATTAACTTTTTAAAAAATTTGCTATAGGGCATGTGCGCTCACCAGAGAGAGAGAGAAGGAGGGAGGGAGGGAGGAAGGAAGTGAGCCACCAGATCTGAGGCTTGAACCATAGTTGGAGTATTAGGAGTTCAGAGCCTTAACCACCAAACCACCTGCTGGACCCAAAGAAAATATTTACATTAAACATCTAGCAAATATAAAGAGCCTTGAAAATCTTTGAAACTTTTTTTTTTGTGGGGGGGAGGTTTTTGCCATAGGGCACGTGCGCTCACCAGACAGACAGAGAGAGAGAGACAGAAAGCGAGAAATCACCCCTCAGGAAGGATGGCCATGCCGCAGTCCCTTCTCCTCCATTCTCTCGGGATCTTGGGCACACACGCACATGTGCCCAGCGTGAGTTTTAAGCCACTGGGTCCAGGATGCAAATCGTGGTCGACTACATGGGAGTCCAGCAACACAGCCATTATACTAACAGCTGGTCCCATGAATCTTTGAAACTTTTTAAGAACTGGACTTACTTCCTTGTAACTGAGTATTCAGTTCCCCAGACTCCAATATCTTTGTGGCAATGGCTCAGAACTTCAGGGTCTTAACAATTTGGGTACCTTGGTCTCTACCTGTTTCTCCACTGGGAAATTAGATCAGATAGGAATTTGAACATCTAATAAAAGGAACGCATCAGAGTACACAACAACCCCAATACTCATCATGGTGCCTGATACTTAGGAGGAATGAGATTCAATTCGATGAATGAATGGGTACCACAGCAATTCCCCTAAAGCTCAGTCTCCTTTCAAAAGGAGTCATCTCTTGCACTACAACGTGTCTGGTGTTTATAACCTTATTACTAGGCATTTACATAAGACACAGGCGAGAGATGACAAAGCTTCTGTAACAAGGACCTTAAGTGTCTGTACAAATGACTGGAAATAAGTATGTAGGCAGTTAAAAGAGCTTCAAGAGACCAGCTCCAGAGCACAGTGGTTGAAGGAGTTGGATTTCACATAGCCAACCAGTCTGAATCATAATGCCAGCAGCTTGTAAAGCATGCCAGGTGCATGTGTGTGCATGCCCCAAATCCTGATGGAATGAAGAAACGAAGCTGAAGCGGTTAAAGTGTGACCACACCTCATTAGGGAGCATTTTTTTTTCCCTTTTCCTCTCATTGTCTCTGGTAAGCACACATGCCTTCTGCAATTAAAAAAAAAAAAAAAAAAGGCACCACAAATATGTCTGTAAGAGGAGCCTGTAGACAGACCTCTAGTTGATAATATATCTATCTTCAGGAGCTTATCAAACCCCTGACTGCCCAGTACTTAGCAAACGTTTGAGAGAAAGAAATCACTAGAGCAGGGGACCAGCAGGCGGCATGGTGGTTAAGGGTGCTAGACTCCCATATGGCCGACTGTGGTTCGAGTCCCAGACCTCAAGGCTTGCTTTCTCACCTTCCCTCTCTCTGTCTCACTCGGTCCCTCTCTGGTCAAATTTAAATAAATAAATGTATGTTAAATAATTCTGGGAAAAAAAAAAAAAGGGAAGAAAGAAAGAGAAAGAGAGACATCACTATGGCAGAGGAGAAGAATATTTCTTGGATGATAGACTCTAAACTCTACCCTAGGATGAAGCCAGATGAGCAGAGAGAGCCACAAGCCTGGATCAGCCCTGTTCGGGCCCCTGGCAGAGCTGTGTTCACTGACGACAGCCTATTATTAATGGACTTGGCCAACAGTGATGTCCACCCTAAGAAGTGTCATTAGAAATTAATGACTGCCAGGAACAGTCATGTTGCCAGGAAGTTGTTGACAACATTGTTTATATCATACAGTGTCCTCTTGATGAGCCTGAGGAGAGAATTTCTCTTTTGACCTCAATACTGAAAAGAGCTGCTCTTCTGAGCAACTGCTGTGTGTCTGCTTCTTGTCCCTGACGCTGGCACTCTCTCTGCCCTGCCACGCTGGTGCCAAAAGTTCAGAGCAAGAATACAGGAGGTTTTTGCAGAGTACATTTTGTGTACTTTATTTCACTTTTTTTCCTCCCATTATTTTCTTTTTTATTACAATTTCCTTGGAGTATGTTACGTATATTTTTTAAAGAATTATTTTATTGGGAACCAGCAGTTGGCGTAATGGCTATGTCTCTGGACTCCCACATAGTCGACCGCGGTTCGAGTCCCAGACCCGGTGGCTTAAAACTCACGCCAGGCGCATGTGCGTGCATGCCCAGGATCCCGAGAGGAGAATGGAGGAAAAGGGATTGTGACGTGACCATCCCCCCTGGGGGGTGATTTCTCGCTTTCTGTCTCTATGTCTCTCTCTGTCTGTCTGGCAAGCGCACGCACCCTATGGCAAAGATCTCTCCCTCCCCCCCCACCAAAAAAGAATTATTTTATTTTAAATTTATTTATTTATGTATTTATGTATTTATTTTAAATTGACCAGAGAGGGACAGAGCAAGAGAGAGAGGGAAAGTGAGAAAGCAAGCCCCAGGCCTGGGACTCAAACCACAGTCAGCCATGGGGAATCTAGTGCCCTTAACCAGCATGCCACCTGCCAGCCCCCCTTGGGCTATATTTCTATAAAGTGTTTCCGATCCTTTGCTGGAACTCTGTAGACTGTACAGAAATAGATTAATAATTTTATTGTTGAGGATGACAGCCTGATTAACATCAGACCTCCTAAGAAAGCAGAAAAGAAGATTACTACTAAAATAATTACATCAAGACCAAGTGATATTTCCATTATCAAAGCTAATCAACTGTTCAAGGTTAGATGCTCAGTTCAGCAACGTGTAGCTTCTATAAGTTCGTGAAAATTTCTACATGTAGGCTTGATAAAATTTGACATGCCTTTCCCAAGCAGGACCTGGGATTCATGCATGCCTTTAGTCAACTTAAGATCCCATTTAAACTTGTAAATAGACATGTAGTTGCATTTAATGCTTACCCTAACATATATGCTGCTGGTAATCTGTAGGTTCATGTAATTACCCTCCAGCTCCACACCCCAGATCTGCAGAACGTGGATTTAAGCATGAGGGCACAACGCATACTACAACTTGGCCAGGGCCAGGGGTTCTGTGCTTCCTCACCTTCCTGTAAGACAGGTTTTTTGGGGGGTTTTTTGTTTTTCTTCTTTTTTTTTTCTTTTTTCTTTTTGTTTTTGTTTTTCTTCTTTTTTTTTCTTTTTTCTTTTTTGCAAGTTTCAGGCACACAGCTCTGCTATCATATCTCTTCTGTAAGGACCTCTTGGCCAACATCCTGGCCAACTCTCAGCAAGCTAACATGATCAAAAACAATTTTTTTGATGACCTTAGTAAGTATTCTCTTCTGAGTAGATGACATTAGCTAGTAAGATTTTTTGCTGCTTTAACATCAGACCTGGTAAACCCTGGTGTGAGCTCAGAAGCAACAGGGAAAAGAAGGAATTGCCCACACTTCGTTTTCAGTGAAATCAGAAGGGAGATATAACTCACAGACAGCGAAATGCATGTCAGGGCTTTTCAACACATCAGAGACTGGGCCGGAGCCATGAGGAAGGAAGCAAGAACAAGCGTGGACTGTAGTGGGGAGGGAGGAGCTCAGGAGCAGATCTCGAAAAACTCAGGAGGAAAGTCACTTCCTGAAGATTTGGGACTCACCCTCCAGTGCAACAGTGCGTTGGGAACTGGGGTGAGCAGGGCTGGCTTCTTTGGTTCAGAGAAGCAAAGGAAGTGAGGCTACAACTAGAGTCCCACAGGTGAGCCACAGACGCAGGAGGCTGTCTCTGTAAAGCAGAGGAGAGGGCCTTTGACTTGCACACGTTAATCTGGCGGGTGGTTATTACTGAGAAAAGCGACCATCTTCTACCCATAAAAATACGTCCACGGAGCCACTGCCCCCGAGAGGGCAGACCTCTAGGGTCAAGCTTGAGGAAGAGGCAGTGACAGCAGGGAGGGATGAGGTGTACGCTGGCAGAATTTGGAAAGAAGCGGAAAGCCACCCAGAGAATGAAGACAAAACAGGAAGAAGCACAAAGAAAACTGGGCTTGTGGGAATGTGTGAAAAGGGGAAAAGAGCAAAATGAGAAAAGCAATGAAATGAGGTAGAAACAAAGAGGTTAAGAGGATTAAAGAGGAGGGGCCAGCAGCTGGCATAGTGGTTAAGGGAGCTGGACCCCCACGTGGCTGACCACAGTTCAAGTCCTGGACCTGGCGGCTTGCTTTCTCATTTTCTCTCTCTCACTCTATTCCTCTCTGGGTCACAACAAAATAAATACACAAATGGATAAATAAAAGTTAAATAAAATAATCTTTAAAAAAATAGGATTAGAGAGAATGACAGAAACAGTAGAGAGTCGATAAATAAACATACCATGGGAGTTCTCAGAAAAGAAAACTAAACAAAAGATTAGAATATAATTTATAAAAGATATAATTTATAAAACATA